CTGTCCCCCGTCACCCCGCCCCCAGGTAGCCGGGGAGAGGTCGCAGCACATCGCTTATGCCCGCCATGTTCTGCGCCACCCCCTGGTGGTCAGCGCATGTCATAGCAAGCAGTTGAACTCCTGGTTGAACTCCCAGTTGAGGGGACAATTTGCATATTAGGCTTTTATTATATAGGATACTATTTTGTTGTGGGTGTACCATAGTTTGTTGTTCACTCTTTAAGGACATATGGTTGTTTCCAGCTTTTGGCTATCATAAATAAAGCTGCTGTGAACATTTATGTGCAGATTTTATGTGGACATAAGTATTTATTTCTCACCTAGTAGTGGAGTACTGGGTAATAATATACTTAAGATTTAACTTTATAAGAAATTGCCAGGCTGTATTCCAAAGTGGTTTTTGCTTCAGGTATTTTGAAATTCTCTTGTTATTTACATACTCATTTTAGATTATTATATCTTTTTGATAAATTGACTCTTTTATCATTATGTAATATCACCCTTTATCTCTTTTACATAGTACTAGTACAGGGGTGGGCAAACTTTTTGACTCGAGGGCCACAATGGGTTCTTAAACTGAACCAGAGGGCTGGAACAAAAGCATGGATGGAGTGTTTGTGTGAACTAATATAAATTCAAAGTAAACATCATTACATAAAAGGGTACGGTCTTTTTTTTTTTTTAGTTTTATTCATTTCAAATGGGCTGGATCCGGCCCGCGGGCCGTAGTTTGCCCACGGCTGTACTAGTATATATTTTTCCATCATTTTAACCTATCTAATTCATTACCTTTAAAGTAGGTTTTTTTTTATAAAAAGCAAGTAATTGTCATTGAGTCTTTTTTAAAAAATGCACTTGGTAATATACATGTTTTAATTTGTGTCTTGATCATTTGCATGTAATTTGTTGATATATTTGGATTTATATTTGCAATTTTATTATTTGCTTTCTGTCTGTTTTTATTCTTTTTTTGTTCCTCTCTTTTCCCTTTCCTGCCTTCTTTTGTATTACTTAAATAATGGTTAGTATTCCATTTTGATTTACTAATTATTATTATTTTTTAAATATATTTTATTGATTTTTTACAGAGAGGAAGGGAGAGAGACAGAGAGCTAGAAACATTGACGAGAGAGAAACATCGATCAGCTGCCTCCTGCACATCTCCCACTGGGGATGTGCCCACAACCCAGGCAATCGAACCTGGGACCCCTCAGGTTCGACTGGAATCGAACCTGGGACCCCTCAGTCCGCAGGCTGATGCTCTATCCACTGAGCCAAACCGGCTTCGGCTAATTATTATTTTTAAAAATATATTTTTATTCATTTCAGAGAGGAAGGGAGAGGGAGAGATAGAAACATCAATGATAAGAGAAAATCATTCATTGATTGTCTTCTGCACACCCCCTACTGGGGATCAAGCCCGCAACCTAGGACCTCTTGGTCCATGGGACAACGCCTAGTTTACTGAGCCACAATGGCTAGGCAATTTATCTATTAATTAATTTTTACTCTCTTTATTTTTTAGTGATTGTTTTAGGGATTACAATGTACATATTTACCTTTTCACAGTCTACTTAGAATTGATATTTTATCCCTTCAAGTGTAATGTAGAAATCTTACCACGGATAGGTCTATTTTCTCTCCATTTTATATTGTCTTATGTATATACACTGAAAACTTTATCAGACAATGTTTTGATTTTTACTTCAATGTTATACATATTTTAAAGAACTGATGAGAAGAGAATAGTTTATTGTATTTACTGAGGTATGTATCATTTCTGTTGTTCTTTCTTCATTCCTGAAGTTCCAAGTTCCCTCTTTCACTTTCTTCTGTCTGAGGAACTTCCTTTAGCATTTCTTTTACAGCACTTCCAGCAACTAATTCTTTTAATTTTCCTTAATCAGAGAATGTCCTGTATTTTATCTTCATTTCTAAAGGATGCGTATACTGGGAATAGAATTCTGGGTCAACAATTCTTTTCTTTTAGTTCTTAAAAATGTTGTACCACTTCCTTTTGATATTCCTGATTTCTGATGAGAAATCTACAGTCATTCATATAATTATTTATCTCTTTATATGATGTGATATGATGTGATTTTTCCTCTTGCTTTTTGATTGTGATGTGTCCGGGCATGATTTCTTTGAGATTAGTGTGTTTGGGGTTTGCCGAGCTTCTTGAATCTTTAATATTGTCTTTCCCCAAATTTGGACATTTCCAGCCATTACTTTTTTCAGATATTCCTCCTGTACCATACTCTCACTCCTCTCTGTTCCTTTTCCCCTCTATTGTTCAAAACAGATAATTTCTATTGATCTGTCTTCAAGTTTACTGACTCTTTCTTCTATCTGCATTCTGTTAATGAGCTCATCTAGTTAATTTTTAATTTTGATTATTGTATTTTTCATTTCTAAAATTCCCATTTAGTTCTTCATATCTTTTATTTCTTTGCTGAGACCTTTTTTATTTTTCCAGTTGTTTGCTTTTATTCTTGGAGCACAGTTGTAAAAGCTGCTTTAAAGTCTGTCTGATAATTCCAACATTTTTGTCAATTTGGGTTTGTATCTGTTGATTGTCTTTTGCAAGTTGAGATATTCCTGGTTGCTTGTATACCAAGTAGTTTAGGTTTGCATCCTGGAAATTTTGAATATTATGTCATGAGATCCTGGGTCTCTTTCAAATTCTAAAGAGAATGCTGAATTTTCATTTTGTTTTGCTTTAGCAGACAATCAACCTAGTAAGTTCAGGCTGCAATTCCAACCCATCTTCTGTGGGCTGTGTCCATATTGAGATATTCCTGGTTGCTTGTATACCAAGTAGTTTAGGTTTGCATCCTGGAAATTTTGAATATTATGTCATGAGATCCTGGGTCTCTTTCAAATTCTAAAGAGAATGCTGAATTTTCATTTTGTTTTGCTTTAGCAGACAATCAACCTAGTAAGTTCAGGCTGCAATTCCAACCCATCTTCTGTGGGCTGTGGTTCAAATGTCAGTCTAGTTTTCAGAGCCTTTATATTCAGATATGCATGTGCACTTCCCAGTGGTCTGGGACCTGGCTGGTAGTTAATCCCATAGTTCTGTTATCAAAGCCTGTGGTTTGCTGTTTAGAGTCAGATCCACACATGCAGAGCTTGGAGGCGAGCCAGAAGCTCATAGACCACGTTATAGGAGCTCCTCCTCTTCATGATCTTTCTGACACTTTCTGACTCGCTGGGCTCCTCCTTCCATTCTCCAGTCAGAAAGCTAGGACTTTAAAATATATATATATATTCATTAATTTCAGAGAGGAAGAGAGAGGGAGAGAGAGATAGAAACATCAGTGATGAGAGAGTATCATTGATCGACTGCCTCCTGCACGGCCCACACTGGGGATTGAGCCCCGCAACCTGGGCATGTGCCCTGACTGGGAATTGAACTGTGACCTCCTGGTTTATAGATCGACGCTCAACCACTGAGCCACACCAGGCAGGACTTTTTTTTTTTTTAATTGATTTTTGAGAGAGAGAGATGGGGATTGGGGGAAGGGAGTGAAAGAAAGAAAAAGAGAGAAATATCAATCAGTTGTCTCCCATACATGCCCTTGCTGGGGATTGAACCCAGAACCCGAGTATGTGCCTTTACCAGGAATCGAACCCGCCACCTTTTGGTGTACATGACGATGCTTCTACCAACAGCCACACTGGCCAGGGCAGAAAGCCTGGACTTTAGATTCCCTGTTTTGCCTTATACTTCTTGTGACTTTCTTTGTTGCTGGAGTCAAGTGGCAGGAGGGCAGGAAGGGAAAAAAGCAGTGGGATTTGATCCAGACCAGGGGTCCTCAAACTACGGCCCGCGGGCCACATGCAAATACAAATATTGTATTTGTTCCCGTTTTGTTTTTTTACTTCAAAATAAGATATGTGCAGTGTGCATAGGAATTTGTCCATAGCTTTTTTTAAACTATAGTCCGGCCCTCCAACGGTCTGAGAGACAGTGAACTGGCCCCCTGTTTAAAAGGTTTGAGGACCCCTGATCCAGACTGTTGGAACCACGGCCTCTATGGTCAGAGAAGAAGGTTCCCCTCCTTCAGAGCCTGGCAGCTGCTGCCACCTCCCCTGTTGCCACCGTGGATTGGAACTTCTCCATTCGGCTTCTACTGTTACCCTTTTTAATGGCATAAAACCCTACTCAGAGACTCTGGCTCTGTGATTCCGTCAGAAGATTAGAGAGCCTTCTAGATTTTCTCAAAAAATCACGTTGATATAGTATTTAGGTAATTTTTTTGGGAAAGTTTTTTTTTTTCTTGCTTTTTTACTTGTTAGCTATGAGGCCTTAAAGGGCTCTTTCTCGATCTGGGTTATTTAATACATATTTTTTCTGCTTCTAAGTTTTTATTAACGTGACTTTTTAAAAACAAACATATCCATACCAATGTGGAGGGTAAGCGTGGGAGAAGAGGGGAGGGCAGGGCAGGGCAGGGTAAGGAATTCTGCTCTGTTGGTAATAGAGCTCCAGGTTCGTCCCATTGTGGATTCCGTCTGGAGTAAAGGTGTTAAGGGATCCTTACTGGGGCTCCATCCCAGCCCGCTCATCTCTCACAGCTGCGTCACGGTAGCCGGAGCCATTTCGGACTGGTGACTGGGAATATTTTTTCTTTGAAAACTTCTGAGTCAGCACAGATACAATGTCCGTACCTTTCGGTGGAGGGTGTGGTGGTGAGGAAGCTCTGCAAACGCAGCTGCTGTGTATTTGGTGGGTGTTGTGGTTGCTATTTAATTCCAGTACAGCTCCTGTTATATTTCAGAAAAATATAAACAAAAAAGATCAGCTTGTATAGTTATCTAAGAGTAGAATATCCCATGTATTTATGACAGTCCTGCCTGTACATTTAATAATATCGACACCATTAAGGGCCAGAAATGTCTATGGACACAGATGTCAGTTAGCTGTCATTCAGTTCATGGTCCATGCATGTGACATTGGTATCTGTGGTTTGCCCTAAATATGCCAGACTAGGCATTTCTAGGCATTACTACCTTGATTTCCTGTGCTTCACTCTCAGGCTCTCTCTCCTGACTTTTTATATGATTAAAAAAATTTTTTTTGAAAGAATCTCAAAAGCTTAAATACAGTACAGATAAATCTTTTCTTGAACTGCTGGAGCATAAGATGCCACATCACTCCCGGGTTTCCTTCAAAGAAGGACTTTCTCCTATCTAATCAGAGTACGTCCATTAAAATCAGGAAATTAACATTGATACGTAACTACTGTCTAATTCTCAGACCCATTCAAAGTCTACCAGTTGTCCTTATAATGTCCTTTATTACAGCGAAAGGATTCAGTGCAGCATCACGTACAGCATGTAGCTGTCAAGTCTCCTTATCTCCTCCAATCTGGAGCAGTTCCTCAGTTTTTCCTTGAGTTTTATGATCTTGCTACTTTTGAAGATTACAGGCAGTATTTTGAGGAACGTTCCTCTATTTGGGCTTGTCTGATGTTACCTCAGGACTAGATTCAGGTTCTGCATCTTTGGCAGGAGTCCTCAGCTGGTGTGCTCTCACTGATCCTGTCACGTGGCGCCGTCAGCGATTGGCCCCGTTTCTGGTGATGTTCACTTTGACCACTTGAGTACTGTGGTGCCTTCCAGGGTTTTTCACTGTAAAGTTCATCTTTCCCCCTTTCTAATTAATAAATACTTTTATTCATTTCTTATTAATTTTTACTTAATTATTTTAAATAAGTATTTGAAAGTGTTGAAATATAAATACCCTGTTTCTCATCAAACTATTCCTTTGTTTCCTATTTTACCCAAAGGGATAAATTTGGTGCTATCGATATTTATTTAAACTCTCAGATTGGCCCTGACCAGTTTGGCTCAGTGGCTAGAGCGTCAGCCTGTGGACTGAAGAGTCCCAGGTTTGATTCCGGTCAAGGGCATGTACCTTGGTTACAGGCACATCCCCAGTAGGAGGTGTGCAGGAGGCAGCTGATCGATGTTTCTCTCGCATGGATGTTTCTAACTCTATCCCTCTCCCTTCCTCTCTGTAAAAAATCAATAAAATATATTTTTTAAAAAATGAACACTCAGATTGTACTGGTTGGCTAGTTGGAGCCCCTTCAGGTAGGTTTTGTGTCCTTGTAATATATCCCTCCTCCTCTCCGAGCATGAAGCTCAGTAAGATTTTCTGGACTCCTCTTTTTATTTTTCTCAGTTCCAGCTGTAGAATCAGTCTCCAAGGTGCCTGGCTATTTTTAGTGGGGAATGGTATACTTGTTTTCTTTGATTTTTATTTCTATGAAAAGAGTTTATTTTAAAACCACAAATGCCACTGTCTTGTACCGTTTTCCTCCTGTGGGTATTTGTAACTTTGCTGTAGGAATTAGAGGTGATGTGGTATGGAGGAGTGCCCACGGCTGAGAGAGGAGAGCTGGGTAGTAGAGTCCAGATCCAGTCGCTGGGCCTCTCACCTCTGAGCCTGGTTCTCCAGTGGAAAAATGGAAGGGCAGAAGTGGACTGTGATCTGGGCTGGGGTTCCCGTATCGCTTAGCACATTAGTTTGCCCAGGTCTGGCGGGTGATACGCTGTTGGAGGGTGGGAGCTGTGTCTTCTCACCTTTGCTATTTGCTGATTGAATTGAGTGTATACAAAGTTACTGGCTCTTTATTTGGTTGGTATGAATGTCCATTTCTAAGCTTCTTTTAGGAAGAGTGATGATGTGTAGTTGCAAAGAGAAGTTTTGTGGCCATTTTATCAACGTGTTCCTGGCTTCCTCCCCATTGTGTGGAGGGCCTAGTTTTCTCTCCAGCATTTTCTTATGAGTAGACTGTCTTCAGCACCTTTAATATTGGACCTCTGAAGGCTCAGACAGACTCTTGAAAATAGGACAGAGGCACTGTCCTATTTCCTACTGCACTTTTCTCTGCATTTCTGATTAACGACCTATCCCTATGAGAAATTTCAGCTGCTTCTACCGTTCAGCACATCCTGCAGTTGTTGAGTCAGAAACACCACAAAAATAAATATTGTGTGTGATAATTGTTTAGTTATGCAGTATGTGAGTGTGGAGACCCATGTACACGAATATAAACACCGGTGTGTGTGTGTGTGTGTGTGTGTGTGTGTTCTAGAACATTTGGCTCCTTTCACTCTTCCTTCTTCATTCCTGACTCTTATTTCCCCGTTAATACAGCTGGTAAACAAAGATGTGGATTCACAGACTGAAGGGGGAGAGAGCCGCCCATCCATGGACTTATTCAAGGCCATCTTTGCCAGCTCCTCTGAAGAAAAGTCCTCATCCTCTGAGGATGAGCAGGGCGACAGCGAGGATGATCAGGAGGGTCCCGGGGAGGCTGACTTCAAAGGTTCCCAGGAGGAGCTGTCGTCTGTGGCACCCAGTACGTCAGTATTTCAGACTTTGGGGTCTAAAGGAGAAAACAGCGATGTCTCTAGAGAAGCTGCTGCTTTGCTTAGTGTATAATTTTAAACCAGGATAATAGCAGTCAGTGGTGGTTTAATCTTTTACATTTTTAACTGGGGTAGACCAGAGTTCTGTTTTATTTGTCTGGTATAAACCTCTGGCATATGTTTAGGATAGCTGTGTTTGATAATGTTGATTTTCCTACTTATCCTAGTTGAGAAGATTTAAGAATAGTAAATATTTTATCTAAAATAGCTGTATGTAAGTATGTATGTATGTATTTTAGAGAGAAAGAAAGGGATGGGGACAGAGAAACATCTATTTATTGTCCCACTTATTTATGTATTCATTGGTTGATTCTTGTATGTGCCCTGCCCTGACCGGAGATTCAACCTGCAACCTTGGTGTGTGGTGACAATGCTCTAACCAACTGAGCTTGTTTTTAAAACCTTGTTGACAAGGAGGTGCTAGGATTGCTGGATGACATTCAGTCATGACTACAAGGGCTCTTCCAGCTTCCTCTCTGTCGGGCACACTGTGTGCTCTGGATCAACCAGCCCTGGGAGATGGGGTCTGTCCTTGTTACTCTAACACTTGGTCAGTAGCTTACCCTGCTTGTTCTGTTTAACCCAGCCAGGAGTGCTGGCACAGGAGAGGAGGCCGTCTTGCACTTGCAAGGGTAGAAGACTTTTCAGCTGCTTGGGGGTGGGTGTGTGGACAAAATTAGAGTGCTCTGCCTGCCCTGACAGTCTGTGGTGGACGTGGGTATAATTTTTGAGGGCCTTTAACCAAAAAGTTACGTAGTAGTATAAAATATTGTTTGTTCTTAGGTGATTGCAAATGTCAGCCTCTATTTTATTTCTATAAAA